TCCAGGTCTTGAGATTTTTTATCCTCATGCCCCAAGTTTCAGCTCCTAACTACAGGGGTGTGTGTGTGTGTGTGTGTGTGTGTGTGTGTGTGTGTGTGTGTGTGTGTGTGTGAGAGAGAGAGAGAGAGAGAGAGAGAGAGAGAGAGAGAGAGAGAGAGAGAGAGATTGTTTTACATTTACAATTCTACTCTTTATTTTCAATTTCTTTGATACCATTCTATTTCTGGGCTAAACCTTTTACAAGAGCATGAGAACAGCTTCACTGGATTATTGTCCCAAGTTCGTTCTTCTATTCTTTCTTTTTAATCACACTGCTGTATCAACTATCATAAGCTTTTTACTATACTTTTAATAATCTTAATGATTCCACAATGAAGGCAGAATTTTACCAGTTATATTTAGAAATACACTCTATGAGAACTTGGAAAACCTGAGCCTTCCTGGATATGGCACAATGCATTTATACACTACCTTATGACCTTGGCCTTGATAGGGATCAGGTTTCTTGCCTAATTAAATGACTTGGTTTGGCTAAATAAGCAGTCTCTAAGTAAGAACTTTTATAATGTTTTTGAAACACAAAAGCATGAACAAAAGCACCTGAGGTAGTGCATCTTGACTGTCAACTTAGCTGGAGCTAGAATACCACCTAGGTGACATATCTGTGCATGTCTGTAAAGACATTTCCAGAGAGATTTAACTCAAGTAGGAGGCCCACTCTGAATGTGAGCTGCACCATCCCAGGAGAAATGGTAAGACCTTGGTCAAAGCACAAAACTTCAATCCTGTAACAACAGAAGGTCTAGAGTACACTGTACAAATATAGCATATAATTAACGATACTGAATTTCATACTTAAAATCTCCCAAGAGTACATCATACATTAAGTACTCTTAATTTAGTAGAAGGAAAGAAGCAGAGAGAACTTGTTGCAGGTAATGAGTAAGTTCATGGCACTGGCTAAATAGGTATACTCATCTATAGCTTTTTGTATGTCAATAATGACACAATAAAATGTCTTAGAATAATGGTTCAGAGTTATGTCTATTTGGTTTATAGATTTCTTTTATTTTATACCTACCCATGACAAAAAAAAACCCAAAGATTATCTTTCATGAGAAACACTGAAAGCCTAATATGGTTGTAGAAAAATATATATCCATCTTATAGCTAGTGTTTCATTTTGCCATTTTTGTTTGTTTGTTTGTTTGCTTTGGAGACAGGGTTCTCTGTGAAGCTTTGGAGCCTGTCCTGGAACTCACTCTGTAGACCAGGCTGTCCTGAAACTCCCAGAGATCCACCTGTCTATGCCTCCTGAGTGATGGGATTAAATGTGTGTGTCACTACCACCTGGCTTCATTTTGCCAAAAATTTACTGTCCAATTTAAGAGAAATAAAAATTTACCAAAGAGTAAAAATTGTTTTTAAAGAACTATCCTGAATATAAAATTAATATTCACTATACATCTGTAAATTATACAAATATTGTAAACAAAATCCAAAGTGATATGTTACCCAAATATACAAAGATAATTAACTAATATGCCATCCTAGAGCCTTCATCCAGTAGCTGATGGAAGCAGAAGCAGATACCCACAGCTAAACACTGAATTGAACTGGAATCCAGTTGCAGAGAGAGGAACGATGAGCAAAGGGGTCAAGACCAGGCTGGTGAAACCCACAGAAACAGCTGACCTGAACAAGGGGGAGCTCATGGTTCCCAGACTGATAGCTGGGAAACCAGCATAGGACTGATCTGGACCCCATGAATGTGGGTGTCAGTGAGGAGGCCTCAGAAATCTATGGGGCCTCTTTTGGTAGATCAGTAATTTATCCCTAGAATACCAATGGACTTTGGGAGCCCACTCCACATAGAGGGATACTCCCTCAGCCTAGACACATGGGAGAGGGCCTAGGCCCTGCTCCAAACGATATGACAGACTCTGATAATCCCCCATGGGAAGGCCTCACCCTCCCTGGGGAGCAGAAAGGGTATGGGATAGGTAGGGTATTAGTGGGGGGGGGGCAAGGGAGGAGGGGAGGGAGAGGGAACTGGGATTGACATCTTGTTTGTTAAACAATTTCGTTTCTAATTTAAATTTTAAAAAAATGGGAAAAAAGATAATTAACATTTTAGTTAGGGGATTATATTAATTATTTACTTTTTTAGTTTCTATCATTCATATTTTTAAAAAATGGTCATTTTTACTTGAATCATGCAGATAAAAGCTAATAAAAATGAGGCCGATTTTAATCATCTGATAATATACATGTACAAGTAAGTTCATTTGAAAGTTAATAAACAAACTAATTCATTTTAAAGATTTCAGCCACTGAAGAAAATGTATTTCAGAATGCTTCCTTGGGCACTACCATGAAAATCAGCAAGACACATCAATTATCATATGGCAATGACTGCATAGTGGACTCTAAGAAACATGACATGTTAGAATATTACTGAGATCTTTCTGCATGCCCTCTCTCCAGACTCTTCTTCCCCAATCTTTCAAACCCTTGTGTAAACATGAGACATAAGCTATGCTGGTCTACTTCAGAAACTGACACTATTCAAGAACCAGGAAATACTTGCCAAAGTTTCCTAATTGAGTTCCAGAAAATAAGTGAATTTCTAAAAACATAAAAGTTATAAACATCGATGCTCAGGAAGCCAATGTGAATGCAAAGATGATAAAGGCAGCTGTGACAGTGCAAGGGGCTTTCTTTATCTATTGTTTCTAAAATCATTCTCTAAATGAGGTCAGTACTCCCCATATAGTCTCAATGGTGAACAGTAGGGTAGATCTTCCCACACTATGGAATTGGTTTCTTATTTTAAGGGTAGGGCTGTAGAGTGTGTGTGTGGGGGGGGGTGGTGTGTGTCTACACAGGTGACTGTGGAAGCCAGAAGATAGTGTCAGATACCCTGGATTAAATATTGTTAACTATAATTCTTGCTTGATAACTGTTTTGTTATATTTAATTTTACAATGTTAAAGTTAAAACCTTTTTTATTTAGACAGAAAGGGGGAGATGATTCGGGATGTCCGTCTGTATGCAGTGAATATGTGTTGTTTTTATTGGTTGATGAATAAAGCTATGTCTGCCAATGGCTAAGCAGAGTAAAGCCAGGTGCGAAATTTTAACAGAGATACAAAAAGAAAAGAGGCAGAGTCGAGAGATGCCAGGTAGCCCCTGGGGAGGCAGGATGTCAGGGCATCACCAGTAAGCCTAGTCACGTGGTGATACACAGACTAGTAGAAATGAGGGAATTTGTAAGAGAGAAAGAGAGAGCTAGCCAGTAATAAGTCTAAGCCATTGGCCAATTATAAATATATATTAAGGGTCTGAGTGGTTATTTTATAAGAGACTGCAGGGACCCAGTGGGAAGAGAGAAACTGGTCCGGGGGACCAGCAGAATGCATAAAAGTGTCCAATTACATCTGTGAGGTACCAAAAAAAAAGTGCTGGGAACCACACTCAGGCCTCTGGGAGACCACCTAGTCCTCCCAGTGATTGAGGCATCTCTCTGGACCCAACTATTTTCTTAAGCTGTAGAATGTGAGGTATTAAAAGTCATTTAGTAATAGAGCACTGGCTCTTTCTAGTGCCATCCAGTTTTTAAAATGAGTAGGTAGGATTACAACTTACTGGTAACAGAGTCTCTACATGTGTCTCTCTTGGTGTAAGAGATAAGAGAGATGGGGAATCCAACTCAATCCAGATTCCCTAGAATCTTCATGGTTGGAACAGTGTTCTACTTTTCTGTCCTTAAGTGTAAAAAAAGGTAAAACAAACACTGTTGGGATAAATACTGTATGCTGAGTACAGGGGATCATTGCTTGTTTCTCCTTTCCTTGTGTGCAGCAGCAGTACTTCCCTGTCCTTGTCCCTAGGAGCTTTTCTACTCATGTGGAGCTTCTGGGTACAAAGGAACTATCAGTTAGGGCACAGAACTGCCACACCCTCTCAAGTCTGCATACTCTTATAGAACTACTTTAGGGGCTAGGATTTTCTTGGACAACTCTCTTGGCATTAAACTGTTTTTTCCTTTCGAAGAACAAAGCATGTTTCTGGTTTGAGACCTAGTTCTGGTTTTAAAGGTTTGCACAGGATGATGCCACCCTCTGCCACCAAGACATGTAACCCTTCCATTGTATTAAGGATATGCCAGCAGGTACTTCTTCAGGTTCGAGACTGGAGACTATTGTCAGAAAAAGAAGGAAGAATCTCCTCCATCCCAGATACAATCGATATTTCGCCTTGATCAGTTCCACAAAAAGCCCTCACAGGACCGTCTTACATGCAACTTTTCCCTGAAGAAATTTTCCCATGATATAATCTGACTTTTAAAGCTAGGTTTGTATTTCTAAAGCATATTTAAGCCAAGGGGTCTGCTGCCCATCTTTAACAATCTTTTTTAATAAATCACATTTTATTTTGCCTGGAATTTTTATGTCTCTTCTCTAATATTTCCTTTGATTCAAATAAATTTTAATTGAGGCACTGAATTCTGTACATTTGGTAAAAGTCGTTCTTTATTTTTAATTCAGTATTTTTTGTCTTTTGTGCAAAAGAGCTTACCATTTACACAAAGCTTAAGATGAATTTCTTTTGAAAATAAAGAAGCACTGTTTCATTAATATACGTTTGAAATTTCAGTAGTAGAAAATTTGCCTAGCATGTGTGAGGCCCTGGGGTTAATCTCCAGCAACTCCCTCCCACCCACCTACCTCCCAAAAGTTAATGCAGACAGACTGTGATTACAAAATTGTGTGTGTGTGTGTGTGTGTGTGTGTGTGTGTGCACAGTTCTAAGATTTTACAAGTCATACATGCTTAATGATAAGAACCTTTCATAGCCACGAGTTATCCCTACTCTCTAAGTGTCAACAAATATCAAGCACCTTTTTCTAAGGTTAAATGGACCATATTATTTTAAGAGCGTTGGTTAGAGAGAAAACTGGCAATAAAACTTTGTTTTCAAAGCATAAGTTCTCTTACATAATCATGGAAGGCTTTTGCTTCACTTGAGTGTTCACATGTTTCCCGTCTCTCTGGAGCTGCACAGTAGAGATCCCAAAATACACTGAAAAGTAATTATGGAACATTAAGAAAATCATTAATATAATGAGAAATCACAATTCAACAAACATAAAACACATTACTCTTTACACAAACCCTTTCTTCTTCAGGACAAGTATTATTTCTCTGAAAGATTTAAATTTAGTCGAGTTCTTCAGTGAATAACTGCATTTACCTAAACATCTTTCCAAACATTTAAGCATTTCCTAAAAGAATAAAGAATTTTAAAACCTGTTTTTTGTCCTGTCCTGAGGAACAAACCCTTATGAATAAGCTGTTGAAAACCTTTGCTATCAAAATTGGCTCTTCACATGCCTGACAATTAGCTGAAATAATGCTTCAGTCAACTTTCCCATGAAGAACAGAAATAGAAATGATGTCCTACTGTAATTAATAAGTTACTCTTTTGCAAGGAATCTTACTGTCCATTTCATAGGCATAAGCAAGGATTGAGAATCATGGTAAGCAGATGTTAGAGGGCTGCTATGAAAAAAAGTTCTTCAAGTCATTTTAGTCCACTTTTCAAGTCTATGATGTGAAAGGTACACAAAACCACATGGTCAAGAACACAGCCATCAGAGCAGGGCAGAGGCTGGCTGCTGCTTACCAGTTGTGGAAGACTGGTCAGAAATAATTTCCTCCTCCACATGGTTTGACTTTTGAGATTAAATCACACAGCACAAACATGTCTTCCAGAGAGTAAGGAATGGGCAGTCTGATACATTATGTTTCCAACTGTAATCTGTGTAAGGGCATAGTAACCTTTGGCCTTTGTAGCATCCTTTAGTCCAGCTCTTTCTCTCCTCAACAAGAAAACCCTGTAAGCCTGGTGGAGGAGATAGTAAACTCAGTAGGGCTGAGGGGCTAAGCACTGTCACCCCTTCAGTGTCTTATGTATTTATTATTCCTTTTTCCACTAAGTGGAAAATCTATTTTCCTTCTTATTAAAATCCTACAATAAGAGAGAAATACAAAGAAGAAATAAAAGACAAAAAGTAAGTTGAGTTCAATATTCTGACAAGAATGAAAGCTATTAAAACTGTATATGGCTTCCCCAGAGCCCTACCAAAATTAAAAAGTATGGATATTCAGAGATAGCGCTGGACTACCACAAGGGTAAGGTGTGCATCAAGTATAGTATCCTATGATTACTCATTTTCATCTTCTGAAGGAAATGTAAAACCCTAAAAGCAAAGTGTTTAGTTACAGTCACAGAATGATAAGCATCATGATAAGCAGCTCAGTATTTCTTCTTATTCTCAAATACCCTTCATTTGCTGGCAAGTGTCCTAAGACCTCTCCTGTAAGTTACTCTGTAACTTTATTTATTTATTTAGCTTTTCTATTGTTTGACAGAAAGTTTCATCTGACCTAGCCTGTTCTCAGACTCTCTGTAAGCAATGATGACAATGAACTCCTAACCCTTCAGCCCCCACCTTCCAAGTGCTGAGATTGTAGTCATGTTCTATTGCACCTTGCTTGGAATATTATATTTAAAAGACCAGATTACACAATTATTGTTTTCACTGAACATGTTCTAAAAACTATTAAGAATTTTTATTTACACACATAAATATTTATCTCATAACATTAACACTGTTCTATTTTTCCCTTAACAATTTTAGTGTGCAATAAAAAGTTTATAGGTTTAAGTTTTTAGATAATCATCAAGTTAATAAAATATAAAAATAAGGTCATATTTGTTACTTTAGAGAAATATGGTCTTTTTTAATAAAGGCAAAAAAGTGCCTGCCCCACAAAACATTTTTAATGACAACAAGCCTTGTCCTAGGCTATCTCATATTACCTCAGATAAGTGTAAATTCTCTCTATACTATACTGCTTAGTATTGTCAACTTGACACAAACTATAGAGTCACCTGGGAAAAGAGAGACTCAATGGAGGAATGGTTTCCTTTTGATTGGTCTGTAGACATGTCTGTGGGGTATTTTTTAAATTAATGATTGATGTGGGAGGGTCCTACTGGGCCAGTACTCTGAGTTGAATAAGAAGGTAGCTAAGCAAATCAGAGGGTGCAAGCCAGTAAGAACCATCTCTGCTGAGATCCTGCTTTGGCCCTTCTGGGATGGACTGATGGTGACCTAAAGTTATGCCAAATAAACCGTTTCCTCCTCAAGCTGCTTTTAGTCAGCAGCAGAGAAGCAAACTAGGACACATGCATTCACACCGTTTATCCTATGGAGTCAAAGATTATATAGCCAAGGGAAGCCAGGAAAAGATAGGAAAAAGTATGTCAAAGAACGCTCATAAAATTGGATGTTTTATTTTAGAAACTATATTTATTACGAGTATTTATATTTAGGACTATAATGATCAAAGATACATATCATGAAACTTTGAAAATAAAATTAAAACCCAAATAGGGAAAGTGTCAATGTTAGAATATTCATGTTTGAATAAGGCATTATCTACTTTATAACTATGTTTGTTGAGCTCTACTAACTATGAGTGGTAAAGATACTTCAAAACTATCTTTTTATAAGGCTCAATCATGTTTTGACAGTGATACAGGCCATATATCACTGTGACTATCAACCTAATATATGGGAACAAAAAAGCTACATTAGCAATCAAACAAACAAAAAAAACCTGAAGGTTTTAGTCCATAATAAGGACATTAAAGCCAGAAACTCTCTAACTTGATCCTTCAAAGACTGAAAACAAAATTTAAAACTTTTTCTTCTAATAATATTTAAAATCTTATCTGGAATATATGTCATATACTGCCCATGGGGAAAAAAGACATACAACATAGCTGACTGAATTTTAAAGTAGTGATGAGTTGAACTGCAAATAGCTCAATTGCCAAATTTCCTACATACAGAAGCTGTATTTCATAAATCATTAAACTTCATAAAATCTTTGGGCCTGCATATGGAATGAATTTATCTCCAGAAGAAGATTCACTGAAATAGTTAATTTGTCCTTCCTGAAGGGGTTTTATTGTGAACTGTTCCTTGGTTCCCAAGACCTCTAATAGCACAGGATTCTGAACTTCTGTAGAGACAAATTCTATAACCTGCAGTGCTAGAGACTAAGAAGCTGGAGTCTTGAGCATTATCTGTGGTATACAGTGAACTCATCATGGTAATTAATGCTTTAGATTTACACACTGTGTTTATCACTGAGAAAGAAGTAGAAAATGCGAATTCTATAAACGAAGACAAAAGCTACATAAACAGAAGCAAAACTTACCAAGTGATAAAATATTTGGATTTATATCATTTATTAGATTTATAATTAAAGTCTTTCCAATGTAAATCAACAAAAATAAACTTAATCCTCAAATTTATGGTTTTCCCAAAAATAGTTTACACTTCCATCCCTGAGAACATGATTCCATCATGACTTAACTAGCTTAACATGTGAAGGAAACACAAAAACAAAATGGTTGCCAGGAATCTATAAAGTTTAGTAATCAGTCAACATGTGGCCCAGAAAATAGGACTTTATTACAGTAACTAGATGGTAGACTTTCTAAAAGCAGAAATTTGAAAAATAAAAGAGAAGCAAAAAAAATCCCTATGGGAAATTTTTTTTCTGAAAAAAAAAAATTTCAAGTATACACAGCTCTGAAAGTCATTTCTCTTTGAGTGGTCATATATAAATAAATGTTAGGTGGTCATAATCCCTATAATAGTTTGGATGTGTAATGTTCTATGTGTTAAAAGCTTACCCAGCTTGGCACTATTTGGTAGGGACAGGGTGTGGGGACATGGGAGAGGCTTTAAAAGATGGGGCCTAGTAAGGCTGTCTTCTGGTACCCTTGAAAGGGACCGTGAGACACCAGATGCTGCTCTTCAAACCATTAGGAAAAATGGCTGCTCCATCATGTGCTTCAGTCATGATGAGCTACCTCAGGTTGGAAGACAATGAACCAATAAGCCATAGGCTCCCATCTCCAAAATTGTAAGCCACAAAGTCATTCTTTTCTCTCTGTAAGATGATTGTCCCGGGCATTTGTTACACTAGCAGAAAGCATACAAACATACTCTCTGTTGAACAAAACTACTTATTCACAAGACCAAGGGTACTTTACATAAAAATACATACTCAATTCTTCCCCTTAGGACTTCCACAAACGTGCACTTTAACAACAGTAAAGAGAATTTAATAGCTTTTAAAGTAGTACATTTTGTTCTATTTTATAGAATTCTTATAATGTTCCTGCATTAATGATAAATTCATATTTTAAAGAGAAGTAAGTTAGCATCTATTGAGTCTATGTTAAATTCAAACATTATATTATCACAGTCCTGCATTTGATCCTAATTATTACCATCATTTTTAATTTAAACTTAGACAAATTAGATTATTTCCCTAAGATCACAGAGTTACTTGGCGAGAGACCTGGGCTTAAACTTTTAATTATTACATCATTTTGCTTCTGTGTAACTACAGTAATGAGTGTTCATCAGTTATTATAAGAATGACAGGTAAGACACTAAACATCATTATCCTACTTTTGATCTTTATACTCTACTTCTATTTAGAAGGATCCTATGATAACCATACCCTCACCTTCCCTGCAGCTGCCAGTGGTCCAAGGACGCCTTGATGTTGATACAACTTAGAAGAGGAAATATTCCTGAGGCCTTCTTCATACATACAACATGAATGCTGCCAATCTTGACATATGATACAGAAACATGTCTCAAGTCTTAAAGATACTACTAAGAAAGTCAATCATCTCTATGGTAAATCTATGGTAAAGAACATGCTATGTTCCCTGGGGACTCCACTGGCCCTTGGTGTAGCTCCAGCTTTGGTCCTTCCTGCTGACCGTCTCAGATCTCCCTTCCACCCTTCTAGCCCATTCCCATTCCTCTGTGATAACACCAGATACCTAGAAACATTTTCTTTCCTTTTTTTCTGTTTGTTTGGGTTTTTTGTTTGTTTGTTTTCAAGACAGGGTTTCTCTGTGTTGTCCTGGCTGTACTGGAACTCACTCTGTAGACCAGGCTGGCCTTAAACTCACAGATA